GTTTGAGTCTCAATTTGCCCAGCTACCTGCTTCTATTTACCTAGATGACTTAGTTCTGTCTCCACAATTTCAAGGAATCCCCCATGAACTCCCAGCTCGATTCAAGTTCTCTGTGCCTTGCTGTGCTTTCAAGACACCTATGCTTAAGTCTATTGGTGATTAATATTTTGTATGACAAATTTTTAGTTGAACTTTTCTATTTTTACAATTAGATGTTAAGGAGTGTCTTGAGGGCAAGGAATGGGTGTCCTTTGCTTCCCTGCTAGGTAATTACTAAAAACACATTTAAAAAATAAGTGACAGAATATAGTTCCTTGGTCCTTCCCTGTGAAGAGCTGAATTAAATAAATGGACTCTGGAGGGTTTGGGGTTGGTAGGTGAAAGAAGTAAAAGGCAGATATGACAAGGGGCTGAGAAGCCATTCTAAATACAGAGTATTATTTAGGGAGCTTTGGATATGAATTATATACGCTTTCCCCTATCTCAAGAGGAAAAACTCTAGATGTTTGCCATTAGTTGTAGATGAACCTAGAATCCAGCAACACTATAGACATTTTGGGCCAGATAATTCTAGAGAAAGAATTATAAACACAAAAATCAAGTATACTGCATCCTAATGGCCCATTTCTGTTTATGCAGTGGCTCTTCTGATACTTTTCTAATGGTTTTTTTAAGGAACTATCCACTACCAGTGGGTGCCTAGATTGAACAATGACCAGCACTTTATGCCCATGGCCAGTGGAAGAAATCACAATTTATTCACTGAACTCTCTGGATGAAATTTCTCTCTGAACATTAGCTTTTGCTGCAGTTGAATTTTTATCTTTGTGGCAAAGTTTTTGATAAACATCTTTTAGAAACTTCCTTCTTCTCCACTTCCCATCACCTGTGGGGTTAATTCTAGAATCATATATTAACTTGGATTTCAAAGTAATTCAGAGACTGCACATGAAGACTATTTTAGGTAGAGTGCTTCCTCCTGAGTCAACTTGTCCCCTGGTAGCAGGCATCCTGCGGATTTCCTCAGTTCTGCTGTTGAGAATGGGAAGCTGAGGCCAGGAGCTGCCATAAACACAGAAGCCCAGTGACTCTTTCCGGTTCCTGGACGATCAGCAAGAAAACTCAGATTTAGTAAGAATTCCTTGGCAAGAAAATTGGGAATTTACTGGACATAGATGGCTTCAGAAATGTTTTTTTTTATGAGCACACATTTTTTTAGGAGGCAGGTTGAAAAAGAGTTTTTTTAGGAATGAAATTAGGTAAATTTTTTAGTTGTTCAGGGAGACTTTATTAGATGTTTTTATTAATGAGATAACTAAAGGCAAGGAAATTCCTCACTTACTCTTTTGACAATTTTATCAAGTTTTACAGCCAGTCATTTCTTCTTCATTCACTTCTGTCACCCTTACTGAAGAGTCTTCCAAATGGCAATTGGTCCTGCATCTCCCCCCACCCAAGTATTCATAACCACATCAGTAGAGAAAGCATCAGTAGAGACATCTTTTGGGACTTGACCAAGACTGGGAAATACTAGTCAGGCATGTTGCCCTTTCCTGACCTTGTCTTCACAGCAGACAGTAATATATCAGTAGTATATCTAGCTAAACTAGCCAAACTCTATATCTCTCCT